AGGGCGAAAAAGCTTCTCTGTGGGGAACCCACTCGGCGCCTGGGGAGAGGAGCCGAGCCGAGCCCGAGCGGTGCCGGCGCGAAGGGGGGCTGCCGGTGGCTCGTCCTCGGCGGGGCCGCCGGGACACGGGGGGCATTGGGGAGGCTTTGCGGGTGGGTCTGCGGGCTCTCGGCGGGGAAAGCTCTGCGGGGAGGGGACAGTCTCCGCCGACGAGGGCGCCCGCCGAGGAGCAGCCCGCGGCGGTACCGGGGAGCTGGCCTCGGCGGGGAAATGCCGAAAGGGAAGCCGGGCGCCGGCCCCGCGGTTCGGCGGGACGGGGAGCGCAGAGCTGGACCCGGCGGGGGACGTGCACAGAGCACAGAAACGCAGACGTACATTTATAGAAGTACATACACATATGCGTGTGCGTCTGGGTGTAAACTGAGTACGAAAGTGAAAAACTAGTCCAGATGTAGAACTGATGTATATACACGTACGTCTTATACGTACACCCACATGCTTGTAACTGACTGATGGATACCTGCATCTGGAGATGCAGGCGCACACACGTGTATATTGTATTATCCTAAGGACATACGGTGCGGATTTTTAAATCTAGGAAAGGCCGTGGGCACACAGTGCAGGCAGAGCCCCGGAGGGGCCGGGCAGCGTTCCCCTGCCGCTCGGGATGCCCTGGCTGCAGGGCGCAGCCGGGAAATCCACCCAGCTTCTGCGGCGGTTCTCCAGTCTTATTTCGCTGCGATGTTTTCCTTACTGCGAAGAAGAAGCGGGCATTGTCAAGGCCAGAACGGTACACTGGCTTGCAAACAGGGTCGTGTTTCTTTGCGCTCTCCTTATTTGTGTAGGAGCTTTCCAATATACTGCAGGCTGGACTGCAACTGTGACAGTCTCTGGGGCAAGCCACTACGGTCACTCCGATAACATCTCCAATGATGAAGGAAACGGAAAACATGAGGCAGAGAAAAAGTAATAAAAGACACGGGAGATACCGGTCAGAACACCAGTCTCCAAAGCTAGCATCCTTATTGCTTAATTAACTTTGCAGAAAGAGGGTCTCTAGATAAAGCACCCAGCAGGATCTTCTATATGTATTTTTCCCTCCTATCCCCCAGCAGTTGTTTATGCGTTTTATAAAGCGAGTTTTAGAGCAAATGCAGCTCTTGTGTCCTCCCTCAGCTTTCAACTACTCAGGCTGCCCGAGCCGGGGTTACAGCCTTTTCTGTTTGATCAGCGCATTGGAAACTGCTGCAGCCCAAAGTACCTTTCCCAAGACTAGGCTTCGAGTCCGCTAAAAAGCACCAGCGTTTTGCAGAGCTTCCATTCAGTGATTTGATTAGATTTTATTTTTTCACGCACAAATCATTCGCTTATTAAAAAAAAAAGAAAAAAAGAAAAAACCTCTAGCCTTATGTCACTTATTTCCCTGCCAAAATGGTTGCATGTTAGGCGGCGATTTAGCTGGGCTCTGCTGCCAGACAGGACTTTCCTAGTTCGCTGCAATTAAGAAATTTTGGTGGCGACTCTGCCGAGGCTGGTTTTCCCCCCCCCCCCCCCAACCCCCCGCCCCCGCTTTTTTTTTTTTTTTTAATTTGATTTTTTTGGGGGGGGTAGGGGGCTGTATCGTTGCTTTTGCCCCGCGGTCGTTGCCTCTCCAGCACGACAGCCCTCCGCGGCGCTGAGCGGGAGGAAGGGGCTGCCCTCGCCGCCGGTGGGTGCCCCGCGGCTCCCGGGGAGCGGGAGGCAGGAGCCCCGGGAGCGGGGCGGCG